TGTTTTTTTTCTTGTTGGCTATCCATGTTCCTTGCTCTTTGCCGTATGGAGAAGACACATGCTTTGTTGTTGCTTTTGTCGGCCTTCATGTTCTGCTTTGGTTGCTTTTGCCTTTGATGGTTGACCACAATTGACATGCATCGTCATCGATCATTGCCTTTGTTCTTCTTGTTGCTTTGTATCATTTTTCGTCATGCCTCAATTGTTCTTGACTTCCCTGTTTTGATCGACCTTGACTTCCACATTCACCATCGGGCCTTGCTCACTACACTATCGATTCTCAACTTTGTTGTCGTTGGCCATGGTCAATAGTTGTGCATGCAATATATTTTGTGTTGACCCCTGTTTGTGTCCTGGGTCATGGTTGAATCTGCAGATCTGATCGATTAACCGCGTTCTTTCTTTCATCGACCTGAACGTCACCCGAGTTCATCCCATTGCCTGCTAGCTTTGTCCAGTCCCTGTTGGCTTACTCATACGTGTGCTGTGCAAGCCATGTATGATCTTTGGTTGTTGTTGTGGACGTCATTGCCTCGTTTGATGCTGGTTCCGGCATTTCTTCAATTAATTCAACGTTCAACTCAATTAACGTCCGCCGCCTTCCCTCTGCCGGCCAAGTACCCGCCGCCCCTTTCGCCCACACCCCACAGACCCCCATCAGCCGTATCATACTCACCTTTATCAATGCTCAAGCCCAATCGCCATACCCACCACCCCTTCGCCCGTCCCGTCACCGACGTCACGACCCCCTCATCCTCCCCTACCATACTCATTACGCCCAATCACCACCAACCACCACCCCCAACCCCTGCCCCACTACCATCACTATCATCCTAGCCACAACCACCACCCACAGGTCATGGTCATGCCCTCCACCATCTCGCCGCGCACTCGGCTTCCTCTTCCTCCTCATCGTCGTCCTCTCCGCGCTCCAACTCACCCCATCCTCGTCCGCGACCTCGACACCGCCATTTTGTCAACCATCACAAGCCAGACTGCGCATCGTCCAACCAACAGCAATCTCGATCCACCCAGCCACGACCCAGCCCCCTCTGCTGCCCCGGCCTCGCCGACCACCAGCCACCAGCCGCCGCCCGCTCGCCCGATGAGCCCACCTTCACCGCCACCCAGCTCCTTCCCACTGCCAGCTACACAACCCGCGACCACACTACTGGTCATCACTCACCTCACACTATCACCCGTACAAATATCGCTGTCATCGACACCCATCTTCCTCGGCTCATTTCCGCGTCGGCTTGTTTTGCCTAGGCGGTTGAGCACGTCCTCGACCGTCCGACCCCGCACATGCCCCCCACCAACCTCATTGCAAGATATGGCCAATCTGATTTCACTACTACTCTACTACATGCCCACACTACCCCTTGCACAGTCTCCAATCCATAGCTGCAGTATTCCGGAATCCGAGTTTCGCCGGCTCAGGCCCAACTTGTTGGCCCTGTGTCCCTTCGAAGTTGCTGACCCCCCTCCCGGGCCCATCTCCGACCCCCACTCCCTATCATCTCCACCCACAATCACCACATCCAGACCAGACTTACCCATCATCCCTGCAATTATATCCATCGACTTCATTTGCCCCGATACGCACATCAGCCGACGCCAACCCGTCAACAGCATCGCTGCCGACCGCCTGCTGCTCGCCGCCGACCACCGCCCGCCGCCGACCGACCACCTCCGGCACCACCGAGAGCAGGCTAGCCATCGACGGAGCATCGGAGGCTATGCATACGGATAGCCAGATCATTAGCAATGACTACTAGTCTGCTCTCCAACCCAATCCTCCCCTCCCTCCTCCGGCCTTGCCCATCACAGCCCCCGCCGGCCTGCTCATCACCAGCCGCCCCTGCCGCCGATCACCAAGCTAGACGACGAGACCACCGGGCTGGCCAGGACGAGGAAGAACAAGAGAGGGCAAGGGCGAGCGATTTTCAATGCAGTGGCGGGCTAGCGTTCAGTGGTCTGCCTCCTCTTCCAATCCCAAGCTCTCGTCTCCATCGACGTCCATCTCAACCCAATCCATCCCGCCCTCCTCCCCCTCGCCGCCCAAGTACCCGGCTCCCTCATCGCCCACACTCAACACACAGCCATCAGCCGTATCATACTCACCCACATCAATCCTCAAGCCCAATCGCCATACCCATCATCCTTCCGCCTGGCACGCCACCCACTTCACGACCCCCGTCATTCCCCCCTACCATACTCATTACGCCCCATCACCACCAACCACCACCCTGACCCCCTACTCCACCACCATCCTGCACATCCCAGCCACAACCTCCACCCCCATGCCTTGGCCATGCCCACCACCATCTCATCGCGCACCCGGCTTCCTCTTCCTCCTCATCCTCCTCGTCTCCCCGCTCCAGCTCACCCCCATTCTCATCCCCGACCCCGACACTGCCATCCGTCAACCATCACATGCCAGACTTTTCATTCTCCAATCAATACCAATCTCGATCCACCCCGTTCCGACCCAGCCCCCTCAGCTGTCCCCTGCCTTGTCGACCACCAGCCGCCAGCCGTCGCACGCTCGCCCGATCAGCCCACCTTCACCACCACCTAGCTCCTTCCCACTACCAGCTACACAACTCACGATTACACTCGAGGTCATCACTCCCTGTGCACTATCATCAGTTCCAGTTTCGGCGTCATCCATTCCTATCTTCCTCGGCTCACTTGAGCGGCGACTTGTTTGGCCTGGGTGCTTGAGCACGCCCTCGACCGCTCGACCCCGCACACGCCCCATTACACTCATGACCAGCTATACCCAATCTGATTTCACTACTACCCAACTACATGCACACACTGACTTTTGCACATTATCGTTTCCACAGACCCACTTTCCGGAATCCGAGTTCTGCCACCTGAGGCCCAAGTTGTTGACCTGGTGTCGTCTTGATGCCGCTGAGACCCTCCTGAGCGCGTTTTATGGCTAGCGTCACGACGACGCCCCGGCGGCATCAATACAAGATTCCAGCTCGTCGTACAGGTCTTGCAGTAGCCCAAACGTTGTCGACTGCACAAGAAGCCGAGCAAACGTGCCATCCACGACCCTGAGTTCGACTTCGGAGAATCGCGGCCGGGTTTTCCGGAGCCTACGCGCCGCGGCCCTCAGCTGAGTCACGTCCTTACCACCACTAAGCTCGAACTTGTACTCGGCCATGTACGGGGACAGCTGCTTGGGATGCAGGGTCCACTCATCCGACAGCGCGGGCATTCCAGCCACAGGTCGCGGTAGCGTAAAGTAGTCCCGATGAACTGCAAAGCAGGTGCGCGCCAGCGCATCGGCACCGGCCACAGCAGCACGCAGCAGAGCTACCAGAGGGCGCCCGAACGCCGGGCCGTGTGCCGGTGGCCGGTGCGCGCGCCGCGCCAGCACGGCCTCAAGCATTTGGCCCTCAGGCGATCCCGTCAGAGCAGGCGGTACGCTGTCGACCATCGGCTCGCCTTTCCTCGAGATCAGGCCATCCTCTTGCATCTGGTTGAACATCGCCGCACTAGCCTCTTTGGTGGCAGCAGAGCCATTGAGCACAAACGACAGCCGCCCAATCTCGCGCGGAGTAGCCTGAAGCATGAGGTCATCACCAACAGCCTTGACAATGCCCACCACGTTCTCGTGCTTGGCCTGGTTCGACACCAGCGCCGCAAAGAACAGCCACTCGTCAGCCGGGTTCCCACCTGCGAGTTCAAGGGGCATCAGCCGCCGCATATGGTTCAGCAGCTCGCGGTACACATTCGCCAGTGAATTGTCATCGATGGTGACTGCATCAGCCGGCGTGTCGCCAGCAAAGCGCAACCTGGACGCAACGAGCCACCTGTTCCAACTCGCTTCTGACGAGACAGGTGAGTACTTGATGTCGTGTGTGTCCTTCTCGCTGCCGATCACATTCTCGTAGTTCGGCTTGAGAATGTGCGGCTCGAATGCGCGCAGCAGCGAGTGCTCTGCAATCGATCGCACCTTGATGAGCAGCTCTACCGATCGAGTCTGTGCCTCTGCCTCCAGCCGCTCCCGCAGCTCTGGTGATATGTTTGTCGCCACAAGCATAGCCTGACATTGCTTCGTACGGGCAAGCAACATCGCGGCGTACATCAGCTGCGAGTGAATGTCGCGGTCCAGATCCCCTGGAGGATGGGCAGCAGCCAGTTTCCCGGCGACACTTTCGTGCAAAGCATCCATTTCGTTGCCATCCCAGTACATCTGTCGCGCCTTGTCCGCCACCCAGGCTCTGAGCCACGTCGGCGCGCTGTCCAGCTGACCGAGCGAAGCCCGCACCAGACCCTTGCCCTCTGCGCCGGAGCGCCATGCCTTGCATGCCCAAGCTAGCCACTCCCGCATCGAGCCGCTCTGGAGCTCAGGTTGGATATCAGATGCCACCGGGAGCACCAGACGCAGGTCGTGCCGTGCAGCTGCCTCGGCCGCCGCACGCAGCTCGGCCTTGCGGGTGACACTGTCTGCGCCACCAATGTCGGCCTGTGCCCACCCAAACGTTGTGAGTAGCGTCGTTGTTCCCCCAAACGCGCGGCGCAGAAGATCCAGCGCGTCCTCACGTGCATCCGGGTCTAGCCGCACGTGTGACTCCTGTAGGACCTTGCGCAGCAGGAAATCAGTAAGAACATTGACATGCGGTACAGCTGCAGCTGCCCTGCTTTGCAGCATTGTCTCAAGCGACGCGCGATACTGTTGGGCAGATGCCGCGGCAGCCTCAGGGTTGATGTTGGCCACGTGCTTCCGGTATTGGACAGCTGCAGGCTCCACAATACGGCGCTTGTCAATGTGCCCAGAACTGAGGAGCGCGCCGTAGATCTGACCGGAGAGCTCCACAGCATTGCCCACAAACCCGTCGTCGCGCAGCAGCACCGCGAATGTCCAAAAATACACTGACCGCCGCGCCACCATGTCAATCTCGACCGAAGCGCCCGCCATAATTAGCGCGCCCACCTTCCGAGTCAGCCGACTTGACTTGCTCGTTGGCGTCAGCCGGACATGCTTGGCGTCGTTGGCGATCCAGATGGTCGAGCCGGCCCAAGCCGTCTCCCACTCGGCCGAGTCGGTCGAGCTGCCATCAGGCTTGCGATAGTGGGAAAAGTCCATCGCGTCCACCAGTGCACGAAACGCGTCCGGCGCAGCAGAGTCAAACGTCGGAGCTGTGATCTTGTCAAGGTACGCCGCCCCCTGGTCGCCAAACGTTGCAGCATCGTACGGTGACGGCGCACCTGGTGCGCGAGCAGCGAGGAACACACCCGACCCATCACAGGGATCCTCTATCGCATCAGCGCGTGCGCGCAGGAGCTCCAGCATCTGACGCCCAGACACGCCGTTGTTGGAGGACGCAGAATACGTCGGACGAGCTGCCCGCGTCGTGGCGTGAAGGCGAATCCACTCAGCAGCAACAGCAGCAACGTGTGGCGGAAGGAAGTCGAGCGCCGCATCACTGATGACCGAGGCGGGCACCTTCAGCTTGAACTGATTGTTGTCAGACTTGACCCAGTCAAGGCTCTCTAGCTCCGCCAGAAACGCCGGCGCGAGGACAGTGGACGGTGCAATGTCTCCTGCACGATTGTCCAATGCAGCGTCGACAGCTGTAGCGAGTCTTGCGCCAAACCCGTCTCGATCAACCAGACGAGCTTTCCGCGTGGCGGTGAAATGCCGGCCAAGAGCAACAGCGAGGTAGCCGTCATCAATTAATGCGTCAACAACGCAGACGTCGACTGGGATCTCGTCTCGGGGTAGAACAGTCCGCGCCAGCTTCTTGAGTGTACCAAACAAGCGCCCCGCACAACTTGGGTCTGTGTCGGGACTCGTGGTCGAAAGCCAGCTGGTGACATCGCCCATCGAGGTCATACTCTGTGGTCCAGCCTTGACCGACTCGGTCGAATCAACCAGCTCGGCGAGGAGATCGCAAGCCCAGCCGGCACCATCAAAGTCACTGGCCCTGAGAGTAGGAATGTGCACCGCCAATCTGAGTGACTCAGCGAGTGCCAGGCGAGAACCCTTGTCGGCCGGAAAGTAAGCCTCAGAAGTGTGGCCATCGGTGGCAGCAGCAATGCAGCGGGAGAACATCTGGTCGTGGATCGAGTTGAGCCGGACAAAGGTGTTGAGAATGCGGTTGCGAGCAAACTCAGAGACGGCGAGTGAAGGCGAGTTCCAGGTATTGTGATCAGAGACGAGCGTGCCGATGATGTGAGTATGGTAGGTGGCGACTGCATGGTGAAACTGTGCCAGCAAATCGTCGTCAACCATCCAGTATGTATCAACATAGTCGTCAAGCAAGGTTTGGAAGAGTCTGTCGTCGGCAGCGGCTGCAGCGTGAGCAAGGGCGTGAATCCAGTTGGGCGGCGTGAGACGGCGGTGGCAGGCGGCGAGCGAAGCGTGGATTTCCGCGTCGTCGTCTGTGGCCGGGAGCATGGCGTTAAGCATGTGGATGGCTGACGGCAGGAGCGCATCGACAGAGGAGAGAACAGAAATGGCTTCACAGAGCTTCGCCATGACGTCGGGGTCGCAAGCAAAGTGAGTGGCGATCAGAGCGCAGGTTTGTGCAAAGGCGATGGCGTCAAAGGTGGCAAGGTCGCGGCCGTGAGTGGCAAGAAGGTTGATGTTGATGTCAAGAAAGGTAAGGGCATAACCTCGGGTAGTGTGGAGGTTGCTGTTGCAGGAGGGAAGAGCAAGGTGCAGAAGACGGGCAAGGAAGAAGCTTGTGGAAAAGCTACCGCGCGATAACGACATATGAATGTCCAGCGCCCGCATGTACGTCGCCTCGGCCTCATCCAGCTTGTCCTGCGCCTTGTACACACCCGCCAGGTTGTTGAGCGTGGCCGCCACGTACAGTGCATCCGGTCCCAGCTTGGCCTGCGTGATGTCCAGCGCCCGCATGTACGTCGCCTCAGCCTCATCCAGCTTGTCCTGCGCCTTGTACACACCCGCCAGGTTGTTGAGCGTACCCGCCACGTACAGTGCATCCGGTCCCAGCTTGGCCTGCGTGATGTCCAGCGCCCGCATGTACGTCGCCTCGGCCTCATCCAGCTTGTCCTGCGCCTTGTACACGCCCGCCAGGTTGTTGAGCGTACCCGCCACGTACAGTGCATCCGGTCCCAGCTTGGCCTGCCTGATGTCCAGCGCCCGCATGTACGTCGCCTCAGCCTCATCCAGCTTGTCCTGCGCCTGGTACACACCCGCCAGGTTGTTGAGCGTGGTCGCCACGTCCAGTGCATCCGGTCCCAGCTTGGCCTGCCTGATGTCCAGCGCCCGCATGTACGTCGCCTCAGCCTCATCCAGCTTGTCCTGCGCCTGGTACACACCCGCCAGGTTGTTGAGCGTG